AAAAAAAAAAAAAAAAAAAAAAGACCATGGGGAACCAAATACATGAAGAGAGCAGATATCCAACTTCTAATTCAAGGGAAACTTGAACAAGGATTGTAAAATTTGCAGGGTGTTGGACAAAAAATTGTCCCGCATGCACCCACTATGGTTTCCTAGCTCTGGGGAGAATGCTGCGGTGATTCATTTTCGTTGCTCTGATGGGCCAGAGACCTGGAAGGAAAAGGGACAATGTCAGATTTCATGAGGACAGTTTTCAAGATGGCAGGATTGAGACACAAATGCCAATCCCAATAGTCTGAACCAACATCAAGTCCAGCTGTGTCTCTAACACTCATTCTTCACTCCGATCCTGAACCATCATTTCCAGGTGTGGCTCTCCATAGATTTTGACCCACATTCCAAAATCCCGTGAGATATCTCAGGTTAGACGTGGCTTCCTCCACACAGCAAGAACTTGAAGTGGTTCTCCTTGGGGACCTGACGGCCCTTGGAGAGGGCGGCGCACTTCACTTACGATCACCTTAGTGCTTTCCACGGACTTCAATCTGTGATGGCAGCATCACTAATATATCAGCGTCATGACTGTAGCCCACATGCAGAGTTCTAATCCCAAGCCCCAGTGTCTCACCAAAACGCTCAGCCCTAACCTTGGCTACTTGCACAGGATTTAAACAAATCTTTGCTTATTCCTCTCCCAAACCCGTGCTATAATGTGTCTGTGGGAAGAAGCCACCCTGAACCTTGTATTTGCTGATTTTCCATCATTCTGACACACATGTGTCACCTAACGCTTCGGGAGGAGATGTGTAGTTACTGGAGAGTAGAAATTCGTGCACAGGAGGAGAGATGGGCCAGGAAACCTGCCAGGCGCACTCAAGCATAAGCACGGTGTCTTGGCACAGCCTGGGAGGTACATGCAGTCAGCGTAATTCCCCTCCGTCTCTGCACAGGCCGCCTGTGCCATCTGAGAGCTTCTTGTTAAACACTCCTTTGTTATAAACAAATCCCTCTCTTTGCTATCCCTGAAGGACAGAAGGCCCTGTATAAATGACAAAAGGCAACAGTACGACTCTTTTAGGAAGAGGAAATTTATGGCTAGTAGATAGATGTTCACTCAGAACCAAGGAACCAACATCTCATATACACCCAATTGCTCTGAGAGGAAGGACGCCTCCCGAATCTGTGCCTCACAAACAATGTGCTTTCTGTGAGGTCTGACTGAGCAGTGTCCCAGCACACAGCTCACCTCTCCCAGGTCATGTGTGTCTGCTTGTCA